TCTAGGGTTTTTTCTGTGTTTTCTTTGGTCTGTCTCTCAATCCTTTGAAGATACCTAAAGATAATTCTTTTGAATTCCTTATCAGAGAGTTTCAATTCTGCTTCTTCCTCAGGGATATGTTCTGAGTCTGTATCCTGTTGCCTTGTTTCTAGCATTTTATCCTGCTTCTTTGTGTGGACTGTGATGGTCTGTTGTCTCCGAGGCATCGTGATGTTGTTGTATTTAAATCTTTGTTTACTGTTTGTGAAGTGCAGCCAAGGGTGATTCAGGCTCTTCTTGGTGGTTTTTATCATTGGCCCATTGGTGGAGAAGGAGGTAGTGGCTCTCACTCAGTAAGTGAAGTCGCAGGAGGTGTGGGTGTATTTGTGTCTTATGGGTCCTGTTGTTGTCTTCCACTGAGTTAGACACAAATTACAATTGAATAACCATCAAAAAACTAAAAGCACATGGACAGAAAACACACCATGTAATCACACAGGAACAGTAGCCAAAAAAAGAAAAAAGAGAAAAAGAAGAAGAAAAAACAAGAAAACCTGTAATATTTGGGGATAGGGCACTAAGAAAAAAAAAGTAGAGAAGGAGAATAATGAAGGGGAAAAAAAATGGGAAAAGTGGAAAAAGAGAAACAAGGAATGGGATTAACCACAAGCAAAAAAGGGGGGAAAAAAAAGACCAGTTAAATTAAAAAAAAAAAAAATTCAACCTGGAACAGGGAAAAGAAAAAAATGCTGAAAAGTAGGACCTGGCAGGGGAAGATTAATAATAATAATAAAAAGGACAAAAGTATTAATGATAATAGTTGTTTTAAAACAGACAAATACAAGGAAACTAATCCCCCCCCAAAAAAAAGAGAAAAAAAAAGAATCGGTGGAAGACAGGGCAGGGTACCCAGGCTCCGTCTGAGTACATAGACTGTGATGGAGTTCCTGTGGGCCCAGAAGGTAGGTGGTAGTGTGGGATGGCTACACCTCCATTCAACAAGCGGGTGTGTGGTATGAGAGTAATGAGAGGAATGTCATACCTTTTCAGTCTTGCGGGTCCAGAGTGCCTTTGGGGTTGCTGGAAAACAGAACGTGTTCTTAAACCCCAGGAATCTGTGAGAGCACTGTCTCTTTAAATATATGAAATAGTCAACCCACTTTAAAACCTTCAAAATGGCGGCACCCTCCAGTCTGGCAAAAGTCCACAGCTCAGCCCGCCTTTCTCTTCATCTTCTCCATTTATTACCCAGCCACTGTGCACAGTCCTCCTTGCAGTCTCTGGCTAGATGGGCTGATGTTTAGGTTAATTCTTAGGTCCTACCACCACTCAGGAATCTCCAACCTGTCTGTGCTGTCAGGATCACTCAGGATCGCTGCCAGACTGCAGCTCCGTATGTCTCCTTTTTGGTATTTTCACTCAAATTCTTCTGCTAGTTGGGGTTTAGTCCTCTTCTATATCTTTCCCTTGAAGGCTCAGGGGTCCAGGATTATCTTCTGTGTCTGTGTTAATTGGTTTCCCTTTTCTTTGTTGAAGAGGTCTCTGCAGTCTTTCTGCCTCATCTGCCATCTTGCTGGAGAGCCTCCACAATAAATTAAAAGAGTCTTAATGCTTTAGATATCAGATGGTTTAAAATAATAGGAAATATTTCTTTCTTTCAGATAAACATCAATGGACAGGATATTAGGACCTTTAATGTAAGATATCTGAGGGAAATCATTGGAGTGGTGAGTCAGGAGCCAGTACTGTTTTCTACCACAATTGCTGAAAATATTCGCTATGGCCGTGCAAATGTAACCATGGATGAGATAAAGACAGCTGTCAAAGAAGCCAATGCCTATGAGTTTATCATGAAGCTACCACAGGTAAAGGCTCTGATAATGCAGTCATTCTCAAAATTAGCAAAATTAGAATTTCACTTCACAGAGCTCAGTTCTTTCCTCAAAGGTTAAGCTAATAATTGAGTTGACAGGTTTTCCAGCTTCACTAGGTAAGTTCTTGGAATTATTCAGTCTCTGATATAAGGAGTATAGCTTTGTATGTGAATAATGTAAAATTTTATTCCAAATATGTTATTAGCTTTTATAATTCAGCATGCATTTATTCTAATTTATAATCTATTGTAATTGTCAAAATAAAGCCACCTATTGTCTTCATGAAATACTAGAGACTCCAGCTTTTTTCTTAATTGCATCAATTCCTTTGTTTTCTTTTGTAGAAATTTGACACCCTGGTTGGGGACAGAGGAGCCCAGCTGAGTGGTGGACAGAAACAGAGGATCGCCATTGCAAGAGCTCTGGTCCGCAACCCCAAGATCCTCCTGCTGGATGAGGCCACGTCAGCCTTGGACACTGAGAGCGAAGCTGAGGTACAGGCAGCTCTTGATAAGGTCAGTGGTCCCTAAACATATGAAGGGACAGCAAAGTGAAATTTTATTGTTGAAAATTCTTTCCATTGCTTTCTAGAGTCTGAGTAGATAAATAGAAACATGGGGGCAAATAAAGCTATTTCCTGAAACTATTGATTTCTCCTTTCTGACATGTGACATTGTCTGTGGAAAGAGGTGAATGGTACAATATCTAGCTTTATTTGACCATGGTTTAGTGAGCCCAGATCCAGATATTTTATTTCTTGGTGCAGCTATAACAGAAATACCACAAGTGGGTGGTTTTAATGAACAGAAATGTATTTTCTCACAGTTTAGGAGGCTAGAAGTCCAAATTCAGGGCAATAGCTCTGAGAAGCTCTGAGTGAAGGTCCTTGTCTCTTTTCAGCTTCTGTCCCTTGGTTCCTTCATGATCTTCATGTGGTGTGACATGTTTTCTTGCCTATCTGTGCTTCCTTTTCTGTGCCTAATCTGTTCTTTTTATGTCTCAAAAATGAGTGGCTTTAAACACAGTACACTGATATGGCCTTATTAACATATTTCCAAATGGGATTACATCCACAGGTATAGGGATTTATGACACAAATTTTTGAGAGACACAGTTCAGTCCATAACACCAGGCCTATTCAGTGAGTTATTTAGCTTCACTTTATTTCTTGGTCATAGGATATAGCTTTTGTCAAAACTAGTTTTGGGTATTTTAGCAACCTGGATACCTAGGCACTGATCTACCTGAAAATGCTTACCCTATTGTGTAGGCTGTAGCATCGTCATTATTCATGAAGTTGAATTGATACTTTTCAGGAAATAAAGTTCAACTTGTGTTTATGAAGTTGTCTAAAAACAAAAAAACCAAACTCACTGCCATAGAGTCAGATCCAACTCATGGTGTCCCCTCCTTGGGTTTCCAAGGCGGTATCACTACAGATTGCCCAACCTTCCTTCCGAGGAGTGGCTGGTGGATTTGAACTGCCAGCCTTCTGGTTAGCAGTCAAATGCCTTAGGCACTGTGCTACCAGAGCTCCTGAAGTTGTCTAAGTGAATAGATATATAACATTTTAAGAGCACTGAGCTCATGTGTCTGACTCAGCTATTTCTAAACTGATCATCAGTATCTTAAGCTGAATCTTCCTAGGAAGAATCTTTCTTGTCACACTTTCGGTGTCAGTACTATATCATTTGTAATAGCAACACATTATAAAAACCAGAATCAGATGATACCACATAAATAAGTTTTGACCACTTAAAAATATATTTGATTTAAGAAAGTTTATTAATAAATGTGCAGTTTCCTTAATAAATTCCATTCAACCTACATCTTGCAGTTTTAGAGACTAGCTATGTGAACCTCATTTTCTTCGGAAATTTGTAACTGAATCCTAAATAAATGCAGCTGCTTGTATGCTATAAACTGTAGTTAATGAATGTTTCTGGTATATCAGATAAATATTTCAGCTTATTATATAATTTAATTTAATAATGATTAGTGATATGATGATAATTACAAATTCTTACATGTACATTAAATAGTAATATTAAGGATACTGGTGATTGTTGCACAGTGTGATGAAAGTAATTGATGTCACTGAATTATACATGTAAAAAAATGTTTAAATGACAAATTTTTTGTTATATATTTTGTATATACACACACATACACACACATACACACATCACAATAAAACAATAAAATAAACAAAATTTAAAAAATAACCACAACAAAAGATATTACATATAAAATTGGCATTTCATTGGTTAATCAAAAGTCACTTAAAGCAGTAAATAATAAAACATAAATTAAATAATAATTTTAATTTAAAATATAAATGAATATTCATGTATCAGCTTCTTGATGGATAGACTTTTAGGATAGTCAAGTAGGATAAGAGAGGTGTTTGCAAAAAAGTAGAACAAAAGATCCTATTTAGCCCTAGGGGCAAGGTCTCAATTTTTTCAGAACAGAATTATTGAAGATGTTGTTTTTCATGTATTGTTCCTGTCAAACAAATTATGGGCTTGCAAGTTTAATTAATATTTATTAATTATTTATTTAGTAATTAATTCATATTTGCTAGTTATTTCAGTCAATTTTAAATGTTTTTATATCCTCTAGGATTATGAGAAGAGTTGATAACTTTTCAAGTATCTACTTAAAAATAACTGATTAATCACTTTGGATTTTTTCTTTTTTCTTTTTCTTTTTTTTAATTGTGATTTGGGTGAAAGTTTACAGAGCAAATTCACTTTCCATACAGCAGCTCACATACACTTTGTCTCATGACATTGACTGCAATTTCCCACAATGCAACAGCTCCCCTCCTACTTCCTCCCCACAGTTACCTCTTCCCTGTGTCCTTCCCTCCATGCACTCCTGCCCCTGAGCTGTCTGCCTGTGCATACACAGCCCTTCTGTTCTCCCATGATTGATCTCTCCAAGGAGCATATCTACCTAATGTAAATGTTTAGCTCACATGCCTGTCTTTTGTTTGGCTGGAAGCCACAGGAGTGGGTTCAATTCCAGACCTGAAGGGTAGCTAGGGGCCCTAGTCTCGGTGGTTCCATCAGGCTCTATCAGACCAGAACACTTAGGATTTTTTTTTTTTTTTAAGTTCCTGAGAAATTCCATTAGCAGCTTGGGTTAAGAAGTTAAAAACATGGGTTTCATCACTAGACAGACTGAGACTGGGATCCTGGCTTTGCCCTCTCCTAGCTGTGTGACCTTGGGCAAACCAATTAACTTGTCTAAGCCTGAGACATCTGAGAAGTAACTGGGAAGAAAAAAAAGAAATAATATAGTAGGATTGTTGAAAAGATTAAATATGGTAGTATGTATAAAGTTATTAGTGTATGTCTACAGAAAACTTGAGATACGTTAATTACTGTGTTTATTTTTATGATTATTGTTGCCATGCTTATTATTAATTTTATTGCTTTGCCTAACATATGGGAAAAATGTATGTTAGCTGCTGCTAATATTATGGTAATTACCATTATCATAATTATTATTTTTATTGATTGCTGAATAACAGACATATTTCTATATAACAAACTACCCCAAATTCAGTGGCTTACAACAGTAATTCTGGGGGTGGGCTAAATTGATCCTTTGTTATTTTCAACTGAGTTCATATACATGACTGCATTTAGCTGGAAGGTCAATTTAGCTAAAAGGCCTAAAAGGCCTCACTCACATACTGGGCATCTCTGTTGTACTCTGTGTGGTTTCTCATACTCCAATAGCCTAACCTGGCATCCTTACATTAAAGTCTTGGGGCAGTATGAAGAGGACAAAAGGCAGAAATTATAAGGCCTCTGACAGGCTTAGACTACAGAACTCATAGTGTTACTTCCATCACATTCTGTTGGTCAAAGCAAATTACAAAGCTAGCCTAGATCGAAGGAGCCTCTTGATGTGATAAACTATTAAAAATTTGTGGCTATATTTAGTCTTCCATAGTGTGCCCTCTGGCCACAGTTATTTACATTTCTCTAATGTAAAATAAATTGACTTCCTTTCAAGACCTTCAAAATTTCAGATGATTAGGACATGGGCACAAAGTCCAGGGTTTCAAGATCTGCATCTGGTTCAAATATGACTCATAGTGACCCTTCCTTGGGTTTCTGAGGCAGTATCACTACTTCATGTGCAGCTCATCTTGATTCAGAGACCTGAGAACTTAAGAAACAATTTATCTTCCCCACATACTGTTCTGGTTACCTAGAGCCACTCTGACAAGAATATACCACAAATGAGATAGCCTTAACAAAGAGGAGTTTATTCTTACAATTCTTACAATTAAGTCTAAGTTCAAAGTGCCAGGCTCTAGGGGCTGGGTGAAAGCCCCTCAACCTTGAGGTCCAGCTCTGCCTCCTGTTCCCGGCCCACTGGAGCTAGAGGTGTTTCTTCACTCAGATAGCTGCTAGCTGCTGAGGCTGAGAAGCCCCAAGGTCGACAAGTAAAAAGGCACAGTCCCGATGTTACCAAACCACAGGGCAGGCCATTAACATAAGTCCCTTGTAAGTCCTAAGGTCAGCAGAGCATAGCAGGCTGCTGAGCAATGGCTACATGCAGGGTCCAAACGTGCCATAGGCTAGAGACTATTCCCAAGGCTTCTCCTTATATACAGGAAGCAGACCACATCCCAACGACAGCTACTCAGCTGCTTGTGGTAGCTCCTACCATGGAGGTGATTGCCAGTCTCATTATGGGGAATAACTATCATCAGCTACCCAGCCACTCAACCAGGCCCAGCCAAGTTGATACACAGACATAACTACCACACATACACCCAAAGAAAGACTCTATTTCCCCAAGCAAAGTCACATTCACAGGTGTAAGGTTGTTGTTAGGTGCCATTAAGTTTGTTTTGACTCATAGTGACACTGTGTACAACAGAATGAGACACTGCCTACTCTTCCACCATCCTCACAATCATTGCCATTCTTGAGCCCATCATTGTAGCCACTGTCAATCCATCTCACTGAGGGTCACCCCCCTTTCTGCTGACCCTCTACTTTACCCATCATGATATCTTTCTCCAGGGACTGGTCCCTTCTGATAGCATGACCAAAGTATGAGTGACAAATTCCAGCCATTCTCACTTCTACAGAGTATTCCAGCTGTACTTCTGAGACAGATTTGTTCATCCTTCTAGCAGTCCGTGGTATATTCAGTATGCTTCACCAACACCATGATTCAAATTATAAGTTCTTCAAAATAAATAACATGCTTTTCAATATAAGGTCATTGTCATGGATTGAATTATGTACCCCCAAAATACATACAAAGATTAGGACTTCAATCTGTCTTCTAGGGGGACACAGTTCAGTTGATGAAAGATAGTAAATAATATCTTTCAAAAGGGAAATCCTTCATTTTGTTATGTTGTTGTTATGTGCCGTTGAGTCAGACCCGACTCATAGTGACCCCTCCTTGGGTTTCCAAGGCAGTATCACTACGGAAGTAGATTGCCCCATCTTCCTTCCGAGGAGTGGTTGATGGGTTTGAACCAACAGCTTTCTGGTTAGCAGTCAAATGCCTTAGACACTATGCTACCAGAGCTCCCTAGGAGGCAGAATTAATAACTAATTGATGTTTCTATATCCACAACACTCAGCCCAGTGCCTTGACATAGAATAGTCTAAATAAATATTTACTGAATTGAATATTATGATTTAACTCATTAAAAAATTGTATATGTTAATTTAAAATTTTAACAGTAACTACCATATCAACTTTTGACTCAATAGATACCAACTGAGCTCTGGTAGCATAGTGCCTAAGGCACTTGACTGCTAACCAGAAGGCTGGCAGTTCAAACCCACCAACCACTCCTCAGAAGGAAGGTTGGGCAATCCTACTTCCATAGTGATACTGCCTCAGAAACCCCAGGAGGGGTCGCTATGAGTCGGGGCCGACTTGACGGCATATAACAACAACAACAACATTTATCAAAATAAATAATATGCTTTTCAATATAAGATCATGGATTGAATTTGTGTCCCCCCCAAAAAATATGCCAATTTGGCTTAGCCACGATTCTCAAAGGTTTGGCAGTTATGTAATGATGTAATTTGTAGTTATGTAATGATGTAATCATCTGCCATGATATGATCTGATGTGATCAGCCAATCAATTGTAAGGAGATTGGGGTGGGATGCAACACCCTTCCTCAGGTCACAGCTGTAATCTGAAATAAGGAGAGTTTCCCTAGGGTATAGCCTGCGTCACCTTTTATCTTACAAAAGAAAAAAGGAGAGAGAAGCAAGCAGAGAGAGGGACCTCTTACCACCAAGAAAGAAGAGCCAGGAGCAGAGCATGTCCTTTAGACCCAGGCTTCCTGCACTGAGAACCTCCTAGACCCAGTGGAAGATTGATGGCCAGACACATGCAGATTCCCAAGGAGTGTCAGGCCTACAGATATTGAAAGAAATAGAAAACTGCCCCAAGAGCTGACAGTGGAAGATGTTCCCCTAGCGATGGTGCCCTGAATTTGGATTTCTAGCCTCCTAAACTGTCAAAGAATAAATTTATGTTTGTTAAAGCCATCCACTTGTGGTATTTCTGCATAACTAGACGGCTGGCGGTTCAAACCCACCAGCCACTCCTTGGAAGGAAGATTGGGCAATCCTACTTCCGTAGTGATACTGCCTCGGAAACCCAAGGAGGGGTCGCTATGAGTTGGGTTTGACTCGACGGCACATAACAACAACAACAAAAAGTAGTTGTAAAAAGAAATATAACATCATATTTTTATATTCAGATTTTTTTTAAAGAAAGTTAATAATTAAAAGTTAAAGTTTTCTATCTTCACACATACCCCTACTCATTGTGTTACAATACTAGAGAGGGAAGAAAAGAACCAAAAGATAGACTTCATAGTGATTTTCATTAAATGACTTCATGTGGTTTCATTTCAATGTGTTTTTGCACATAATATACAATTTAGTGAGTTTTAGTATATTTACAAGATTGTGTTTTTCAAGAAGGGTAAGGAATTAGTATTCCCTTTGTTTAGGACTGCCTTTCATTACAAATTCCATCTGAAATTAAAGAAAGTCCAGATAAACAGTTGGTGTCTTTGAGTCTAGGGATATTTATTTGCCAGTGTCTTGTCATAATTAGGGTGTCTGATTGCTATGAAAAAAGGTATCTTTTTTTTGTGTGTATTAAAGCTCTGCTTTGGCTAAATATTCTTTGTCGAGGGTGAGAGTTACTAACTGTTGAATTCACAGACATATTTTGTTTTCCTACATACCTGTTCTTCACTCACAAGTCTGACTCCATTTTCCTGTACTAATCTGTTGATGTTACTGTTTTGATAATAAGTTGATGCTTTGACCTATTATTATCAAAGTAATAATAGTTATGGCAACAAAATCACTATTAGCAATTTAATCATCAGTGTAAGTATTATTAGGTTAATCAAATTATTTCCTACATACCTTATCATACGTGGATCAAGCTATACAACTTCCATATCAGTAAATATTTGTCAGAGTTTCCTTGAGGTTTTTTATAATAACAATCGAAGAGCAATCTTTAATGTTGTCTAATAGAGCTATGTTCTCCTCTCTCTCTCTCTCTTAATATTTTTATTCTTTTCTATTAATTTAAACACAATTAGTTTATCTGGATTTCAGTGTAAGGACTCAAGTAGAGATGACATGTTATGTTTTGCAGGTGACTACATAATTGTCAGAGTAACTTTTGTTATGTAGTCTACATTTTGCCTACTGTTGGGCAGTATCATCTTTATCCTGTACTAAATTCTTAAATGTTTTGAATCTGTTTCTGGACTTCCTGTTTCATTCATGGATCTAATTTCCTCTTCATGTCCTAGTTTCCTTTGAATTTTACTGTTTTAATTACTGTAATTTTAACTCTTTTAATATCGGGTAGAGATATTCCCCTTTTATTTGCCTTCCTTTTTGGAATTCTTGTAGCTATTCTTTTTGAAAATTGAGATATAACTCATATACCATAAAATTCAACCTTTGATAATATACAATTTAGTGGGTTTTAGTATATATACAAGGTTGTGCAACAACCATGACTATATCTAATTCCAGAACATATTCATTACTCCAAATAACCCCAAGAAACATTGAGCTTCTGTTAATGGTGGTGGGAAACTTTGGAAATGGATACTGATGATGGTTATACATCATGATGAACATAATGTCACTTAACTGCAAATGTAAAAAAATGCTGAAGTGGCAAAGGTTTTGTTATATATGTATTTATCACACACACACCAAAAAAAAAGAAATCCATACCCACTGGCAGCCATTCCCCATTGCCCCTTTCTCCCAGCCTTTGGCAACCATAATCAATTTTTGATCTCCATGGATTTGCTTATTCTGAGCACTTCATATAAATGGCCATAATATGTGGCCTTTTGACTCTGGCTTCTTTCACTTAATGTAATACTTTAAAGGTTCATCCATGCTATAGCCTATATCAGTACAGCATAGCATTCTGTTTTATGGCTGATAGTGCTCCACTCTATGGATTTACCACATTTTGTTTATTTAATCATCAATTGATGAACATTTGAATTTTTCTCATTTTTTGTTTATTGTGAATCTAGCCTCTCTTATTTTTAATTTCTATTTTTAATGAGTTACTTGAATTAGTCTATATTCTAATGAACCTTCTAATGACATGGTTTTATTGTTTCAGAGTAGGTTTAATCATAAGAAGCTGTCAGCCTAATAGGACTAATGATTACAAAAAGAATAACCATTATTAATGACATAACATTAATAATTTGTTGGGCATTACCCAGGGTTTAAATACCTATCAGTACATCCACCAAACCAATAGGTCAGTTCACTGAACTATGTAGATTTTAGTGTGCATAAAAATTACTTGGGAGTGCTTGTTAAAAATCAAGATTACTGGGATCTTTTCAGAGATGCAGATGGCCTTTGAACTATAATTTGAACAATACTGATTCAGAGGTGCAATTTCACCTAAGCTAGCTGCTGTTGTCCATCAAATTACAGTCACAAACAGAGCTTTCAACAGGAACCCAAGAGAAGTTCTCTGGAGAAAGGCTTTCACTTGGCAACCACTTCCCTAAAATGCTTTTGGTAAAGGGTCTTGGTTACCATTTCACTCTGGACTCAGGGGCCTCAGATAAGTACTAGTGAAAACACTTAAGGATCAAACCTCTGTTTTTCTTGAAAAAAAAAAAAAAAAACAAAAAAAAACTACTGTAGGCTTGCAAAGTTCCCTAAAATGCTTTTGGTAAAGGGTCTTGGTTACCATTTCACTCTGGACTCAGGGGCCTCAGATAAGTACTAGTGAAAACACTTAAGGATCAAACCTCTGTTTTTCTTGAAAAAAAAAAAAACAAAACAAAACTGACTACTGTAGGCTTGCAAAGTTATCTGTCCTCATACTGAGGGGGTTGACCTCCAGTCTAGTTCAGAACTCAAGTCTGACTTTAACCTTTTATAGAGGAGTGATGGCTTTGCTCCAACCTCATGGAGATCTGGAAGATGAGCTGCCTTCATCAACCTGAAACATCTACCCAAATGCTTAACTGTGCACGTTAATTTACAGTGTGTCAGTATGGTAACCCTGCTGCACCACACTTTTGTCTTTTTTCCCTTTAGGCCAGAGAAGGCCGGACCACCATTGTGATAGCACACCGACTGTCCACAATTCGAAATGCAGATGTCATTGTTGGGCTTGAGAATGGAGTTGTTGTGGAGCAAGGAAGCCACAGTGAACTGATGAAGAAGGAAGGGGTATATTTCAAACTTGTTAACATGCAGGTATCTGCTTTCCAGTAATTTTTCTTCTGTTTGCTTCTCAATATCGTATTCTTTATGGTATCAAAAATATGATGCAGCTAACACCAGACTGAGAAATAAGAAACTTCAAGATGATTGAAAATAAATATCTCAGAATTTAATTCAGAATAAATGAAAGAATGTACATAAGAGAGAAGTAGGGCAGTGAGAGGTGAGGGGTAGGGGAAAAATGCTGAAAACATTCTGAATTAATTCCTTAGGACAGAGATTCTTAATTCTCTAGGGAATATGTTCAAACAAACAGGACCTTTCCACCATGAGATGAGGTGGATTAAGAGATAGATTTAAAAGGTTCATATCAGGCTCTTGGTGGTTGGTAGGAGGTCTTAAGTGATTTTAAAATGCTTACCAGATGATGTTAATATATGTAACAGCAAGATTCATGACTCTCGAAAGTAAATAGCTTGGTTTTCTTAACCAATAATTCACTTTGGTTTATTTCTCAGAACAAGTTATATTGATAAATTATTACTTTACCTTATTATTAAAAAATACAATTTATTATGCTTCATTATTTGAACAACTTTACAGAAAAACCTAAGAATATTTTACTCTATAGATATGATTCAGGTATTTGTCAAAGTATATGTATTTGCTTTGATATAACTGTAATTAGTGTGCACACACATTTTTGTTCTTTTTCTTAACTTTTCAGATATATATCATCCAAATACTATCATTTTAATTGATACTTAACAGCCCATTATATTAATGTGAATAAATTGCTTCGTAATTTCTCTAAAGTTAGATATTTGGTTATTTCCTCTATTTCTCTATTCTAAACATTGCCACTTGTGAGCACAAACCCAAAAACCAAACTCACTGCCATTGAATCAATTCAACTCATAAAGACCCCACCTTGGGTTTCTGAGGTGGTATTTGTACGGAAGTAGATTGCCCAATCTTCCTTCCAAGGAGTGGCTGGTGAGTTTGAACCTCTACCCTTCTGGTTAGCAGTCAAATGCTTTAGGCACTACGCCACCAGTTTAAAAAAAAAAAAAAAAATCAGTCAAAATTCACCTTGTTTTCTGACAAATAAGTCCTCTAAGTTATATTTCCCACATTATTTGTCAGTCTAGGAGACTGCCAAAGGTATATGGACAGCTTTGATCTTTCCCTAGTCACATTCCCTAAGCTTTCTCATCTAGGCAAAATACAATTGAAGACTGAATAGTGGACTGGTGTGGTAGAAAAGGATTATCATCAACTAAGGGCTTTGAGCAAGTCACCTAACAAAATTAAGTTTTGGCATCCTCACTTGTAAAATGAACAGGGGCTTGGACTAAGATGACATCTGACATTTCTAGTATTCTGTGATTCCTAGGAACTATGAACTTCTCCATCCTGGTACCCATACCTTCCTACTTCTGATTTAGGTTTGCCTTCCCACTTACTTGTTAGTGCTATTGGAGATGTGGAGGAAAGTACCGCAGTGAGCTCAAGCCAGTGTTCTTCCTTTTCCTCCAATCCAAAAGACCAACCCAGTTTAATATAACCTCATCTTGGTTTTTTGTTTTGTTTTCTTTGTTTAAGTAGAATGATCGGTGTTTATGTGATAGGTAGACTATTGATTCTTATTTTTCATTTAAATGTATCTTTTTTTTAATTTAAATGTAATGTCTTATTTTTAAAAATCTAAACACTACTGAAATGTGTATCTTACAAATTTAAAAATCTCCATAATCTAAACCTATAGAAATAACCATGGATAGCCATTTAGTATTTATTTTTAATCTTTGTTAGTCTAAAAGAGCTAAACAGACACTCCAAATTTCTTTAAATATTCATGAGATTGAGCATCTTTTCACAGGTTCAGTGGCCTTTTTTTTTATTATTATTTCCTCTGTGAAAGTGTTTGTTCTTAACCAGGTCATAATTTTCTTATTGATTTAAAAGAATTCTTTGCATAATGAGGAAGTTCTTTTCATGTACTGGAAATATTTTTGCCTGCTTTGTTCCTGCAATTTCAATGTATTGTTTGTTTTTCTGTTTTAAAGCTGTAAATTGTACATGATTAGATTATCCATCTAAAAAAAAAAGCAGGATAAAGTGGTAGAAACAAGGGAGCAGAATACAGACCCAGACACATCCCTGAGGAAGAAGCAGCATTAGAACTCTCTGATAAGGAATTCAAAAGAATTATATTTAGGTATCTTCAAAGGATTGAGAGATAGACCAAAGAAAACACAGAAAAAAAC